TGAAATTATAAGAAGCACGTAATGACTAAACGTTAAGTTCAGTGATTATCAAACACCGTCCCGATCTTACTTGTACTGCAATATATTGTCACGGCATATATATATATATATATATATATATATATATATATATATATATATATATATATATATATATATACTAGCAGCATGACCCGGCATTGCCAGTGCTTGATTCAAAAATCGTACAACTCATACAGCAATCGCTATCACTTGACTTAGAATATTTTTGCCCTTCCTTGCCTTTAAAGGAGTGCCCTTTGCCGTGCTGATGTTGCTACATGCCTTACTTCTTGCCTATCTCACACTGCAAATTTTTTCTAAGCTCTATACTAAACATTAAATCTCTTACGAAGAAAGAACTAAACAAAATGAACACAAAACGATCAGCTTTAAAAAAGGACTCGTAACTGGAAAAACCGAATGAAAAAAGAATGTTAACAACAAATACTTTTTCACACACAACCCAGTTCTGTGGAATCAGAATCAACGTTGAGTTTAAGCAAGCGAATGAGCCAATTGGAGTAAAGTGCCATGCAGATTTAAATTTTTCCCACTTGTGAAGAATGCAGCTATGGATTTTTTTTGCATGCTAGCATGCTAGTTAACATTCGTGTCAGTCAGCTGTTGGCTCTCACGCTGGCCAATAGAATCTTCCTGCCTATTCGTGGCAGCCAGCTATAGGCTCTCACTCTGGCCAGTAGAAAATGGCCGCAAACTACATGAAAACTGCTGTAGAAGCATGAAAAAATCGAGTATTTCCACTATCGATGGGAGTTGGGAAATGCAAAGTCAGTCTAGGCCTTCCCTCTAACTTGGAGCATGTGCATGTAAATATTGGTGCAAATCCGTCGAAAATGGCGGCCGTGCATTCGTTACACACACACACACATCCTATTATATATATATATATATATATATATATATATATATATATATATATATATTAGTGTGTGTGAGTAGAAATGCTACAGCGTTTATATACATTATATGTGTGTGTGTGCGCGCAAGCAGACATGCTACAGCGTTTATTTACTCCATATATGTGTGTTTGTGCGCAAGTAGACATTCTACATCGTTTATGTGTGTGTGTGTGTGCGTGTGTATAATTAAAAATGCTAAAGCGTTATATGCCTTATATGAGAGTGTAATTAGAAATGCTACAGCGTTCATATACGTTGCATATTTGTGTGTGTGCGTCATTAGAAATGCTACAGCATTTATATACGTTATATGTGTGTGTGCATGTGTGTGTATGTGTGTGTAAGCAGAAATGCTATAGGGTTAGTTAATTGCACAAATAGTTGAATAGAAATATTTAAATAAATTTATATTTGTTTGAATATTTCTTACATCAATATTTTTAATTAATATCATTTAAATATATACCCTTTCAAAAATTTTGCAAAATGTGCCGTGATATTTTCATTCAGCCCCAAGCTGTACCGTTTATTTAAAAGGTTGACATACACTGAGCTAGTTAATTTCTGTTATTTAATATCGTGAAAAGTTAAATAATTTAAGGAAATATATGTGCGACATTGAGATTTTAATCGATAATATGGTACAACACTTAAAAAATAAAAACAATACCCACATATGGTTGTACTAAGATTTCGTATTATTCTAAAGCATGTAATTTATTCCATGTTTTTAACTTCAAAATAATCTTTCTTCTTTTTATGTGCCATGTTCTTTCAGGACGTAGGCGATCATGGCCCTCCACCTCCTCTATCCCATACAGCTGTCAGCAGGTTCATTCCTTCTGATTCCTCCCCCAGACAAAGTTCTGACACCCACCTGCTCAAGCTCGCCAGGAATGACACGCGCTGCTTTCCCTTTTCTCTCTTTCTCTATATTCGACCCGTGATTATCAGATTCACCAGGCCCTCCTTCCTCATTACATGTCCCAGAAACTTCAGCTGCTTCTTTCTGATGTTAATTATAAGCCTTCTCCTTGTTTGCAGCGTGTCTAAGACCTCATCGTAGCTCAAACGCTCGATCCATGATATCCTTAGCATCCTTCTGTAAAACCTCATCTCCATCGCCTCGAGTCTTTTCTTCGTCTTTGAGGAGACCGTCCAACATGCGCTGCCGTAAAAAAAGGACGGATATCATGTAATAGTTCAGTATTCTTTTCTTTGTTACCAAAGAAATCATCCTGTCTCGCAACACTCTGCCCAGAAATGGAATAACAAGTTATACAATAATACAAAGCATATTTACTGGCAGTGGAAGGAGGAAGTCCAAAGAAAAAGTGAAATGAATGATCCTCATGTTTCGGTACAATAAAGATTTTAAATTATTTAATTAATCATCATGCTAATTAAGGTCCTATCACTTTTTTTGTGTAGACAGCTTTTGGCAGGCTAACACTGTCGTATATGGTTTAAATTACACTGTGGCGGAGGGAGGGTTGTCGATTAGCCTGTCTTTTTCGGAAGTCAATCACAGCTCTCTGTATTTATTTATTTCTTTCTTTCTATGTGCCATGCCCTTTCAGGGCGTAGGCGATCATGGCTCTCCATCTCCCTCTATCCCTTGCAGCTCTCAACAAGTTCCTTCCATCTGCTTCCTCTCCCAGCAGACCACGTTCTGTCATCCAGCTGATTAAGTCCGCCGTTGTTTTCCCTTGTCTCTCTTTCCCCTCTATTCGACCAGTGAGTATCAGATTCTCCAGGCCCTGCTTCCCCATTATGTGTCCCAGAAACTTCAGCTGTCTCTTCCTGGTGTTAAGTATAAGCCTTCTCTTTGTTTGCAACCTCACGTTACTCACACGCTCGTCAAATCGAATTATACACAAGTAAATGAATTGTTCGTTTTTTACAGTTTATTAACTCTTTGTAGGTTATTTAAAGTCAGAAAATATTTTTGTTAGATTGTAATTTTTTTTTTTTGAGATAATAATCATTTGGTAACACGAGTTTTACTAATTACCTCGATGATGGTGGGATGAAGAAGTGCATCCATACCATCCCCAATGGTATTTCGTCATAATTGATTATAAGTAATTACCTCGTAGATGGGGTGGGGGGTGTGAAGAGATGCATCCATACCATTCCAAATGGTGTTTGGTCATAACTAAATATACACTGCGTGCCAAATTATTATCGAGATAACTTTTTTCTAATATTTCAAAAACCGTCCAATCAATTCACACAAAAATTTCACACAATGTTGGCAACACTGACCTACGAAATCACTGAAATTTTCCTACTGATCTGCGCAATGTAAACAAACTGGCGCCATATTTGTTATCAGCATGGTGATTTGAACGTGCCAAATTATTAGAAAGGTTTAGTAAAATTCCCAAAAAATTGAGCAAGCAAAACGTTTATTAATGTTGAACGTGAATGTTTATGATCAAAAGAAGCTAATAAATAAGATAATCAAACAAATAATAACAGATACAAACAAAGGCACAGTTTTAAACAAATTAATAGGAAATGTGCTTTCCCTGTTTTGAAATTACTTGAAGAAGTCGACGATCCATAGAATTTGTTAATTGTAGGATGTCATCTTCTGTAATGCCGCGAAATATGTCAAGAATTGATTCCCACAACTCAGCGTTGCTCCTGAATTGTCATCCGTTGGCGTACAGTCTTCGCTTCATGATGCTCGAAAGGTTTTCGATTGGATTCAAATCCGGAGAATTTGATGGCCACTTCATTTTTCGAAGTCCATCGAAGCCTAACTGTTTCAAATATTCAGTAGTCTTGTGAGCAGCAAGTGAAGGAGCATTATCTTGCATAAAAACAATGGTCCTTCTGAAGGCAACTCTTTGCCTTTTCATAGAAGCATGAAAACATCGAATATTTCCACTATCGATGGGAGTTGGGAAATGCAAAGTCGGTCTTGGCCTTTCCGCTAACTTGGAGCATGTGCATGTAAATAATGGTGCAAATCCGTCGAAAATTGCGGCCGTGCATTCGTTACACAGGCACAGAAACATCCTGCCTTTTATAGATAGACATATGTTTAAGTCGTTATTATTATCATTAGAATTATTGACTATATGATAAAACCTTTCAAGAAGACAAAAAGTGTCTGGTCAAAATTGAGCTCGTGAAGTAGGTTCAGAAAGTTATGTTGCCCAGAGCAAACAGCAATCACTCTCGGCTGTACTGATAAAATCCAAAGCAATACAATACAATAAATTTGTGGCCGGTTTCTCTGCAGGAGTATTTGGAAGGTTGTCGATGTTCGCAACTAACTGGGGTTCAATGAGACATTCAAGCAGAATGATGCTCTGGTTTACCGGTTCCGTCAAGTGTTTTCTCACCAGCAAAATCCACGTGTGAATATTCACTTCATTTTCTAGAGAATAAATTTCAAAGTTAAATAAAATTCAGATAACATCCCAGATACATTTGTTTTAGTGCGTTCATTACATTCGATGTAATGCCTTGAATCAATATTCAATTTCATTTCTGGAGTTTGATGAGAAAGCACAGGTATATATCTATTAAAATAATCGGTCGTCTATTCAGGATTGATTTCCCCGTCATGCTCATTAAAAACTTGTGTTCGTGTTGGTTAGGACGATAAACTACATCCAGCTGAAAGACCTCTGATCAGGAGATTGGAGGCTTAGAGAAACATGGAACCAACTCTTAATTGCAGTTGTTCCCAGTAACACCTTGACCCGAGGGGTGTAGAACTTGTCAGGGTCCCAGATATAAGCAAATAGTGAATTCCTAAAAAATCGATAAGAAAATATAAAAATGTACATTTGTGTAATAGATTACATCAAAATAAATAAATAATTAAATAACAACGATGCACTGTTTAAATAAGATGACCAGCAATACATTTTACAGTAAAATTGATGATATGGCCAGGAAATAAGATAATTTACAAAAAGGAAAAAAAAACATAATAATGATCAATCTCATTTTTGCAATAAACATGGAACTAAATCACGAAATAGTGATATTCTCTTGAATTAATTAAAATTATTAATTATAAATTATTATAATTATTTATAAATTATTATAATTATTTGTGTTGAATCCCTCAATGTTTTTCCATGAACAGACCGAGATAGATAGATAGATAGATAGATAGATAGATAGATAGATAGATAGATAGATAGAATTATTAAGATATGAATGAGATAGAATATGAATAGATAGATAGATAGAATTATTAAGATATGAATGAGAATATGAATAGATAGATAGATAGTATATAAGCAAGTGTAAATGGATATAAATCCGACAGAATGAAGAAATTTTGAAAAAACAAACAAAAATCCTTAAATGTAGTTAAAATGAAAGAAATGTCGACGTCTGACGTTTCGGTTTAATAAACCTTTTTCAAGACAATATTCATCAAAATACAATTCAGTTCAATATGACAAATACGATGGACATAAAAACACAAGTCTTATTCAGAACAGATAACTGAAAATTTTTAAAATGATCAGCCTTCCGTCTAACATGGTCACGCCGTCGTCACATGGGCGACGCTTTCATAACGTATTCCTAAAAGTTTGTGATTATTTTGAAATGAAAAAGAAAATGAAAAGAATTCTATTAGGTTCTAAAATTCTTATGTGTATGCTTGTCGAGCATCAATCTCGCTAAAAACGGGGAAATATTAAAGAAACCAGGTCTAGTATTCATATATATTCATATAAATAGATAGACAGAATTATTAAGATATGAATGAGATAAAATATGAATAGATAGATAGATAGATAGATAGATAGATAGATAGATAGATAGTGAAGAAGTACAAAAAGGCACTCAGCATTTCATGTTTAAGCGATTCTTCAAAATACGGAGTGTAGGAATCTCAAACATTTCCAGTAGAGTGTAAATATAAACAAACCTCCGTAACGAAGAATTTAATAGCCGAACCTGAAAATGAATTATTTTCAGCAACGAAATTTTCGAAAATCTCGCAATTTCCCACCCCGACACATACACTTTTAAGCGCCACCATTCTTTCTGGTCTCTTCATGTTCCTGCAACCTCATAAACGTTTTTGGCATGATACATTATAAACGGACGTTACATGACTTGGCTTCTCTTTATTCGGATGTCGAGTCGATGTGTGAAAAATAGCGTGGACTAGCGTTACTTAATATCGTAGATAATTCAATATTAAGAGATGAAATAAAAGCAGACAAAAGAAAGAGAAGCCATAACGGTACCTCGTATTGTGAACACTCTATCAAAGCGTAAGATTGAAAGTGTTAGAAATCACTGGCAACCCACTTCTCTAGTCATTAGATAAAATCTGTAAATTATCTACACCTGCTGTTCATATTCACAATGTTCATTGTGTCGAACTGGTTTTTATTGATTAATATTTTCGGCTAGTCGATCGTCACGGGAAATAAATTATTGCTGAAGTTACTAAACTTTTAGCAGAGCATGCAACATAGATAAAAGCCGATCGTCTTTTAAAGGCCTTACCTTTCAAGATGGCTCCCGTTCAACTGATAAATTGGCGCCCTAAAAAGGAAAGCATGTCACCTGTGCTATTGAGGAGCTGAGGTTGATGATAAGTCGTACTGGAGCTACAGCTTTTTTTTATAGCGAATGCACTCACTGAATTCAAACTCAGTCTCAGTACAGAGGCGAAGAGGAAAACCCATGAAGTAGTGCTTTCCTCAATTCACCGAACCTGATATTGTAGCTGCTGAATAGAAACCATTTTCACACGAGGTGATCTTTCCAGCCACACTCTGTTCTGCATCAGACGTGGAATCCCGACCGGAATCATGAGGCAAGGAGGTATAAAAAAAAAGCTAAAGTATCTGTCTATATTTCTGAGATGAGGTATTATGTACAAAAAAGCTAAAGTATCTGTCTATATTTCTGAGATGAGGTATTATGTACAAAAAATCTAAAGTATCTGTCGATATTTCTGAGATGAGGTATTATGTACACTATTTACATTAATCGGACTATTGTCCTCATCTTTGTCGCCATATTTATTATAACGTTTCGGCCGTTGTATGCTCCAGCCTTCTTCAGGTGGTTGGAATGTCGAACTGAACCCTTTATTTCGCTCGCTGCGGTAGACTCTTCTAGTTCCAAGTGCCATGTGTAATTGATATCAGATATCAGTTATCTCCTGTTAATTTCTATCTAAAAGTTCTTCAGTACCTTAACCGGGTATTGAACTCACACTCTTTGGGATCTATCACTGGATCTAACTAATACCTTTATCCACTGTGCCATGTCTAATGGATGTCAGTTATCAGTTATCAGTTATCTCCTGTTAATTGCCCTCTCAAAGTTCTCCACTGCCTTAACCGGGTATTGATCTCACAATCTTTGGTTCCGGTCACTGGATCTAACTAAGACAATAGTCCGAATAATGTAAATAGTGTAAAAAGGCTCAAATATCGGTCATCCGTTTAGTACACAATGTAGTATCTACATAGCAGCGTGTATTTAATATGTTTAGTAATTTAATAACTCTTTAAAATCTGGAGAAGTAATTTATATTATACAAAACTATCTTTGACCCGTTGAGTTACTCACAGTTTAGGTTACAAAACATTGAAGTAGATTTGAACATTAAAATATTGTCTGTTTGAAGAAAGTTGAAATAAAAAAAAATTACTTACTGTATAAACAACTCGTATTTTTAAGTCTTATTCACTTAAGATATTTTTTAAATCACATTAAAATAAAATATATATTTTGATATGCCAAAAATATATTGAAATCATATTCACTTGAAAAAAAAAATTAAATATGGCAAAATATATTTTTTTAAATATTTAAAATATTATTTCTTTAAAGAAAGCTGAAATATAATTGAACACACACGAAATATCAGTGGCGGAACGAAAGAAGTGAAAAGATAGAGAAATGAAAAGAGAGAGAACGGTGGAAAGAGAGAGAGAGAGAGAGAGAGAGAGAGGTGAAAAGAGGGCGAGGTGGAAAGAGAGAGAAAGGTGGAAAGAGAGACAGGTGGAAAGAGAGAGAAAGGTGGAAAGAGAGAGAGAGAGGTGGAAAGAGAGAGAAAGGTGAAAAGCGGACATATATGTAAAAATTTATGTCCACAATCTTGATATTAAATTAGGTCACCATCTGAGACAAAAACACACAATTTCCTTCTCTCCCCTTTCCTACACGATAATAAATTTATATCTTTTTTTCACCCACTCTCTATATATGACTTCTGGCAAGCAAACAAGCAACGTTCACAGAGTTTTATAATAATAGAGATACTGAAATAAATGCCACTGATAATACATAGGTAAGACGTCGAGAAAACTTAAATAAAATAATATATAGACACAAATTGATATTATACAAAACAGCGCGCTCAATGTATTACCCGTCTGTCGCTAAAGATCTGCCCGTAATTTTACTTAAAGAATGCAGTTTTAATTAAAAGAGAATGTAATTTACTGAAGCAAAAATATATAGAATGTGTAGTTATTTCTTATTTCAAAATTTGCGTCCAGGTTCATATCACATTCTTGCTGGCTTAACAAATCAAATGGTATCACAATGTGGGATGAAAAAACAACAATAGCGACGAAAAGAAAAAAACAGTTCTCAGAAGCGGCATGAAGACGGTTAGGCTGAACGTCGCAAAATATCGGTTTTGAAGTTCACCGTCCCTGTATATTCAGGGTTTTTTTTAAATGAATACCCGTAAGTAACGTTTATCCCTATATTCTCAACCCATCCTTTAAATATACATAATGGCATCAATAACTGATGAAGGCCTTTCGAAAGACGAAGCACGTTTCTTAGAGTTCTTTCATGTTTCAAGTATTTACTTACCATCAAGATATTTACTAGCTGTAGGTATTTGTTTATCCCTCGGGATAAAAGTAGCTCCCTGTTTTGTCAAAATTCAATCCTTTGAAGGTAGGTATAGAGTAATCTCCCCAGGCTTCAAATCAGGGCGATAGTATATGAAGGCTGTCCAGAGCACACACCACCACTCTCGGCTGTACCGACGAAATTCAAAGCTATACAACGCAATAAATTTGTGGCCGGTTTGGCTGAAGGAGTATTTTGAAGGTTGTTGAAGGTTGGGATTCATGGCGATATTCAAACGGAATCGTGCTATTTTTTCCGGTTCCTTTTACATCGGGGATGTTGAGGTTACACAGTTCCTTCTCTCGGAAATTAAAGAGGCAACACCTACAAGGCTGCAGGTGTTTTTAATTCAGATTTTTCCTTTATCTAGACTAGCGATAGTAATGGAGCCGGGCGCTGTCGATACACTATGTCCACTCTCTTCTCAACCGTATCGTCACGATGAAAAAGAATACAGGGTATTATATTTAGGAACGGCTTGGCTGAAGATATTACCAGAAACTTGTCAGTGTTGTCAGCCAACCGCTTTCGAGGCTAAGCTTCAGGTTTTTCTGTTTGGATTTACTCCCATAGCTTTATTTTAGAAATGACCGCGAGATAGCGGGGGTTTAACAACATGGTGTTCCTTCCCCTAGATGGACTACCTTCTCACTTTGACGATCTTCATCTATCTGAAGCAGCTGGATATGAGGCACCAGCGGTCCGCCTTATCAAATTTGGAGCTGGACTTATTTGTCATATGTTATTTAAGCAAGTGATAAAAGTATAATATCATATGATGCGGTATAACTGAAATAGCTCATCCATAGCTTCATTCGTTTAAGTTAACCCTTAATTTTTTGTAGTCTTTGATACTTTTTCGATTCAATGTCCAGAGAAATTGCGGGCAAATAGTCATTCTGAATTATTTATCAGTTGCCACATTAAAATCTTTCTTTGCAATGTTCATTATGCTCGACAGAATGCCATAATTCAATACTCGCGTTATTTTTCCAGTAAGAAGAGCCAGAAAAAAGGAAGTACATGTATCACGTCAGCTGCAGCAGAAAGAACCGTTCCCTCAAGTGCTTTCTCACCAGAAAAATCCACGTGTGAATATTCACTTCATTTTCTAGAGAATCAGTGTCAACAGTAAATAAAATTCAGATAACATCCCAGATACATTTGTTTTAGTGCGTTCATTACAATCGATGTAATGCCTTGAATCAATATTCAATTTCATTTCTGGAGTTTGATGAGAAAGCACATGTATATATCTATTAAAATAATCAGTCGTCTACTTCCGGATTGATTTCCCAGTCATGCGCATTAAAAACTTGTGTTCGTGTTGGTTAGGACGATAAACTACATCCAGATGAAAAGCCTCTGATGGGGAGATTAGAGGTTTAGAGAAACATGGACCCAACTCTTAATTGGAGTTATTCCCAGAAACACCTTGACCCGGGAGGGGGTGTAGAACTTGTCAGGGTCCCAGATATGAGCAAATAGTGAATCCATAAAAAATCGATAAGAATATATATAAAGTACAATTTTCTAATAGATTACATCAAAATAATTAAATAACAACGATACACTGTTTAAATAAAATGGCCAGCAATAAATTTTATAGTAAAATTGAAGATATGGTCAGGAACAACAACAAAAAAAAAAAAAAAAACGATAAAAATTAGCTGTGAACAATCGCATTTTTGCAATAAAAATGCAGCAAAATCACGAAATAATGACATTCTCTTGAATAAATTAAAAATATTAATTATAAGTTATTATAATTATTTATAACTTATTATCATTAATTATAAAAATGAATTATAAATTATTCATATTGTGATTTCGGCATTAAATAACACATTGAGTAGATATAACGCGTAACAAAATCGACCAAACCAGACAATCTACGTTTCTCCATGAAAAGACATAGATAGATAGATAGATAGATAGATAGATAGATAGATAGATAGATAGAAAGAATTATTAAGATATATGGATGAGATAGAATATTAATAGATAGATAGATCGATAGATAGATAGAATTATTAAGATACGGATGAGATAGAATATGAATGAATTGAAATAGATAGATAGATAGATAGATAGATAGATCTGAACAGAATGGGATAGATAGATAGATAGATAGATAGATAGGTATAAAGGTATTGAGATTGTATATAGGTACACATTGTGATCGGGAGTTAGAGATGTACTGAAAATACATATCAATATATCGATAGATAGGAATAGACTTGAATAGATAGCAGAGAGAGAGAGAGAGAGAGAGAGAGAGAGGGAGTATGCTAGATAGACAATTATGCAGAAACCCGGATCGATATTAGAATAAATAAGATTTCATTTTCGTATATACACACACCTATATATATATATATATATATATATATATATATATGTGTGTGTGTGTGTGTGTGTGTGTGTGTATGTATGTATAATCGATACCACCACAAGCAAGGCCCTAGAGCCACTAGCAAGGAAGAGGTTACAAAATGTGAAGAATTAAAGAAGAGAATCATTGGTAATGAAAAGAACGAGAAAAGAGAATAGATAACCATTGACATTGCATTTAATTGCTGGCAGATTAAAGTTGGTTGGAAGGCATAGACCTGAGATTGTGTTCCACAAGGGAGAAACGTAAGAAAAGAAACAGTTAGCATAGAACTTACAGCTACATCTGGCCAACTCAACTTTAAACTGATGAGATCTAACATCTAGTCTAGCATTGTGCTTACATTCATACAATCTAAGTCATCCGAACAATTATCATGAATGTATAGATAAAAAAAGGCACAGAAAAAAAAAAAAACACCTTGTGGCGGTGAGAAAGTGAAGGAATTCGAGCCGTCAGATCCGGGCCAATAATATTGCTCGTTCTCTTTTTGAATTTTTTAAGCATATCGAAGCAAGGCGGGAGTGCCACTAGCAGGCAATGGGTTAGAGAGAGTGGGGCCAAGAGTAAAGAGGGTTGTTTGAGGAAAAAGGGTGTTTGAGGGAAAGATAAAGAGAAGGACGGTGATCAAGACCAAGGCATCGGAAGATGTCGATTGACATTTCATTGGAATATTTGAAGATCATAGCTATCAGGAAAGCAAGTATGTTGAAGGGAGTTCCACCTGCGGGAAGTGTGATATAAGAAGCTGTTGGAGTAGAAGAGACAATTATATTTAACCGTTTCGACGGTGAAAGGGGTGGACCGAGTGTTATGGAATGGTTTCACTGTGGAGGCTTGTATTTGTACTAAGTCGCTCCGAAAATAGGTTCGACGTACAAAACGTTAGGAACCTGATATAATAGGTAATGACGCTGAGTAATCTATTTGCGGTCGCTGATACTTTAGTATCCGACTAACGGTCGTCCGGCATCGACTGACTGACCCACTGAGCGATATTCAGTCACCCCCGCCTCCACGAGGGCATCATGTGGCACAAGGCCGGTTTAACGTGGGATCTCCGAGCCCGTGGGCTCTGCCAAAAATATGCTCTTTTAAAACCCGTATAAATGGGTTCAGGGTCGAGTTACCTCCCCGAAAGAGACTCCGTCCTTCGGCGTAGCCTCGTTCGGGTTCCTCCCCGCCCGAAGGCAGAGAGTTCATCTTGCCACCCGGTCGTCCGACTTCAGACTGAACTAAGACCGACCCCTGAGCGACTCCTCGTTACTCTTATTACTCCTACTTATTATAGGTGGGAGAGTCTATTAACTATAGAATAGGTGTGTTCCACTATAACACCGAGCTGCCAAACTAGTAGCATGCTTAAATTCATGCAGTTTGCGAACCAGTAAAAGTAGATCGCCAGAGCAGTTGCCATGAAAGTACTTGTAGAAAAGACAGAGGGAAGCCACAGTACGTTTGTGAGAAAGTGTCTGTAGAGGAGATGCTAGATCAGGACCTATCACACTGCATAGCCACAGAAACACATGGGAAATAGCAAGGACAATGGACCATGGCGGCAATATTCTAAGCAGAGACGAATGGTAGACATATAGATATATAAGACCCAATTGAACCAACATTTATAGTAGATGACCTAACAACCTATTCAATATAGTCTTTCTCCTTTCATGTCAGCAGAGAACGTTAGCCCGAGAAGCCGTAGAGAGTCATATTCCTTGAGAATAGCATCAGCCATGTTGATGGAAATCAGAGAGTGGCCCTTCGAATGATTAATGGAGAGAAGTTTAGTTTGGGAGTTCCACAACCGAGAAGTGCGAGAGAAGAAACTGTTAGCATAGAAGTTACGGCAACATCAAAGCAGCTCATCTGTAAATTGATGAGATATCGTCTTCAATACTACGCTTAAATTAATAAAGTCTAGGTACTATAGCAAAGAGCACATTCGAATAATTACCATGAAAGTATTTATAAAATGGCGCAGAGAGGCAACCTTGGGTGGATGGGAAACTGAATGAAACCGGGCCGTTAGATCAGGGCCATTAATATTGCTGATTCTTTGGATTTTCTAAAGAGGCATAAGGTAAATAGAAGGGACACTTACGAATGGTAGACATATATATATATATATATATATATATATATATGAGGAATTCTGGAGAGAAAAATGATTGTCTAGCAAGACACAGTCAACCATCTTTCTTAGCAGCGGACCTAACCTATATAGTCTTTCCCCTTTCATGTCAGCTGAGAACGTTAGCCCGAGAAGCCGTGGCGAGTCACTCTCCTGAATGTTAGCATCCGCCATGTTGATTGAATGCAAAGAGAGTTATTTCAGAAGTGAGAAGTACGAGAAAATGAACTGCTAGCATAGAACTTACGGTTACATCTAGTCAGCTCAACTGTCGATTGATGACACCTATCTGCCAGGCCAGTACCGCGCTTAAATTCATAACGTCTAGGTAACATAGCGAAAATCTCATTCGAACAATTACCATGAAAGTATTTATAGAAAAGGCACAGGGAGGTATCTTTACGGCTGTGGGAGTGTGACTAAAGCCTAGATGCCAGGATGGGACCGATAATTTTGCTGATTCTTTTTTTGGACTATATGTAACAGTAATATTCTAAGCATGGACGAACGGTAGACATTGATATGTAAGAGCAATTCTGAAGGGAAAAGTAATTGTCTAGCAAGACACAGCAAACCAACGTTCTTAGCAGCTGACCTAGCAATGGATTCAGTATAGTCTTTCTTATTCATGTCAACTGAGAACGTTAACCCGTGAAGCCGCAACGAGGCATATTCGTCGAGAATAGCATCAGCCATGATGATGGAAGGCAGAGATTGGTCCCTCGAATGATTAATGGAGAGAAGTTTAGTTTGGGAGGCGTTAAAATTAACAAGCCATCTTTTGACCCAGGTAACAACAGGCTGGAAAACGTTTTGGACATTGGCTGCCATTTCGATGATGTCAGCCTGATCAGGTGCCATCAGCGAGGATAACAAGTTGAGAGCTGATGCCATAGGGAAGACCTTTAATGAAAATTAAAAAAAAACAAAGTAGGACCTAGCCGTTATTTCGGGTGGATACTCGTATTAGAGTAGACGCCGAACTTATTTATTATGTTTATCCATTAAATTAACGCTTAGTGATAAAAATATATTGAATTGATTAAATAAAATCCATTACACTAGAAGAAATAATATACATATAGAAAGAGACTGAGACACAGTGATTTAGAGAGTAACAGAGATGAATCGATAAAGAGATTGAGAAACAGAAAGAGAGTGACGGATAGATACACAGATTCAGAAAGAGAGAGAGAGAGAGAGAGTGACTGAGATAGATATATAGATATATATATAGAGAGAGAGCGACAGTGATGGATAGATAGAGAGATTGAGAAAGAGAGACACAAGGACAGAGATGGATAAATGGAGCGTTAACTGTCTATATCTCTGAGATGAGGTATTATGATTATTTACATAATTTAGCTGATTCGGAATGTAAATCTCATCTTCATTGCCATATTCACAACGTTTCGGCTGTTGTACGCTTCGGCCTTCAATATCTGTCTATATCTCTGGGATGAGGTATTATGATTACTTATATTAGTTATATTATTCGAACTGCTATCCTCATCTTTATTGCCATATTCACAGCGTTTCGACCGCTGTACGCCCCGCCCTTCAATATCCGTCTATATATCTGAGATGAGGTATTATGATTATTTACATTATTTACAATGTTCGGAATGTTATCCTTATCTTCATTGCTATAATCATAACGTTTCGGCCATTTTACGCTCCAGCCTTCTTCAGGTCTTTGGAATATCTATCTATCTATCTATCTATCTATCTATCTATCTATCTATCTATCTATCTATCTATCTATGTGTCTTTCTTTCTATATCTCTCTCTCTCCCTCTATCTATCTATCTATCTCTTTTCTCTAACTCTCATCTCTCTCTCCATATATATATATATATATATATATATATATATATATATATATATATATATATATGTGTGTGTGTGTGTGTGTGTGTGTGTTTGTGTGTGTGTGTGGATAACATGACATTTTCCAGGAACGTATTTTTAGTGTTACTATAATATGATATCTATCGAGTCATTTGCGACCTACCATAAGTAAGGATGCACATATTATTGCTGGAAAATGCTCAGGCAAACGATGACCTGTTTACTTTTTTTTTTTTAAATGACATCAAATCAGTTTCCAAATATTAAAATAAATATTTATTACATTTTTTTGTAATGATTTTTATACATAACCTGTTCACTGTCCACTGCCTTTAACCCTAATCCTAACATATTTCATACATCCAACAGTTAGTAAATATCATACCAGAGTAGAAAATGAATGGTTGATATCATACTATAGTAGCATAATATATCTTCTGATATTTTCTTCTTATCTAATATTAATTTTCTTTCGTTATCAACTTTCTTTGTTTCTGAGAATACGCATTTGTTTTTCATGCACCATTGGTGTTATTTTTACCTTCCTTTGTAATTAATCGCCAAAGTAAATGAAAAATCTTGAACTCCACTTGATTTTGACGTCCCTATATTTAACTCACATCTTGGGCTGTCCCTTTTGCTAGCAACCAATAATCTCGTCTTATTAATATTTACACCTATCTTCTCAGTCTTATTGACTTTCTTTTCAATTTTTTCGTTCGGTCTCCCTTCTCAATCTCTATTCCTCATGACGTTATCTGTGTAACACATATTTTTAAGGTTACATAGCCAGACGAAGATATTTTTTTCATTATTGGATGGCATATCAGTTAAACAGACTTAAAAGAAACCGTTAAACAGTGAGATATTTTCTTTCACACTAGATATTTAGATTTTGAGTTGAGTAAAAATATATATATATATATATATATATATATATAGTTGATTTCCGTTTGTATATTATTCACCATTCAATCCTTGTTAATAAATTAGTACAAAGAGAGGGGCGTATAAATGTCTATTCGTGTAACAATAACATTCGGTATACCCAGAAAAATAATTGCCACTCAATGTGTAGTGATAAAATCTCCTTTGTCTGGAATGTTCTGATGGCTTTGTCTGTCGCATTCCTCATAAAATATTAGCAAAAGAAATATATTGCTATAGAAGTGACAGACAACACGTGATCAGTGAGAGAAACAATCCAGTATTTTATATTTTCGTCAAGCAACAGTGTAAACTTACTAATGTATACTTTTTTTTTATAATCGAAATTACCAAAATAAAGGATCAATGACTAATGACGTTAAGTGGGTCCGGACTGACAGGAATAAACTATCTTCTTTTTCTTCTTCTTCTTGCATCCACAACTACAGTAATCATCATTCTCTTCAACTTCTAGTCTTTTGTAGCAGTTAGCAACGTTTGTATTTATAATATTCCTCCTAATCCGTGTTTAAGCAAACGTTTAGAAAAAAAAAAGATCGCTTGGCATGTTATTCACTGATTTCTTTTGACTTTCCTGCCTTCAATCTGCCATGTTAGTGTCAAAGTTTCTAAGTCGTCTTTCTTCATGTTGTGGTGTCTTCCCTCTAATGAGGCTATTGTGGACTCTTCAACTTACTATAAAGACAGTAAGAAAAGTAAGTCTCGTGGTAACAGTGATAGGACTGTTCTACTGAGGCTGTTCGCAGCTCCTATCGAACTCGCTGCTTTTGGCAGAGAGGAACCGGAACGAGGCTGTTCCGAAGGGCAGAGTTTCGTCCGGGGAGGTAGACAGGTACGAACCCGTTTACGCGTTTTCTACGGGGATTTTTTTCAGCGAGCCTACGGACTCGGATAACTCAACTTGAACTCGGCCTTGTGCCACATTTACCCTCGTGGGGGGGGGCTACTAAATATCGGAACAGGGATATAGACTGAACGACGATCAACCGATACACACTTCGCAAGTCGTGTAACACACTTCTGTTGCATTTAATGTTCAATACACTATTCAGCTGCAACCTCTTGTTATTTCTTAAACAATTCATTGGTCACAACACTTTAGTATGTGACTTCGAAATTTAAACTGTTTCTTTCTAATGCGAACTATGAGACCATTTTGTTATAATTTTCTTAAAATCTTTAGCGTTGCTCTTATATTCAGGCTATGATGATGTCCACATTCTTCTGTTGGACCTAATTTCTGTTGCCTTAAGTCTCTGTTGAATCTGAGGCCATTGTCCAACATTCTCTGTCCTATAGGAGAATCGTTATTACAAAACAGTTCAGTACCCTTTTCTGTGTTTCTATCGAAAATCTCTTGCATCTATTTTTTGATATAGCAATTGAAATATGATCGTCTTCTTCTTCTTCTTCTTCTTCTTCTTTGTAGCGTGTCCCTTTAGGATTTGGTGATCATGGCTCTCCACAATTCCTTGTCCTATGTTGCTCTTACTAAGTTTAGTTATCTCTCCTATATCCTGTTCTTCCATCCATTCACTCAAACTCATTTGTCTTCTTAATGTACCATGTTCCTTTAGGATGTAGACGATCATGGCTCTCCACAGTGTTCTTTCCTTTTTAGCTCTTAGTAAATTTTCTCTTTTTATTATCTCTCCTAAATCCTGTTCTGCCATTCATTTACTCAAGGTCGCTGGGTAGGTTATGATTGGTTTCCGTTTAGTCCATCTCGCCTTCAGCCTTTCCCGTGAGTATCGTAGTTGCGAGACCTTCTTTCCTCATTATGTGCCTTGGGAATTTCAACTGTCTCTTTCTGGTATTATATTTACGTGTTTTTTTTTTGTTTCCATTTATTCTAAAAGATGTTCTGAGAATTGTTTTCTCAGAAACCCTCTGTAAATCATTATTCCTGTTGTGTCAGTGTTCGTCTTAAACTGTGAGAAGATTGTCCAGCATTCCCTATCATATAGTAGTATATATATATATATATATATATATATAACCTCGACGACAAAACCACGGAATAAAAGCGTATTAATAAAGAAATATTTTCTCATCATCAAGATTAATCGAATACTCAATACTTTGCATTAACCAGAAGAATATCTTTTGAAATATACATATTTTCCTTACCATAATCAACATATAAAATCAGTTACGTCCCTTGATTTTTTTATTTGTTCAGTGCATAAGCGTTAACACGTGGGGATATAAACATCTATAACATTTTTGAAACGCTAAAAGCGAAATCGGTTAAAGGAAAACCTTTTTCTGAAAACACACATGCAAGTAAAATACTTTTAATTTGAATATGTTTTCAGTAAATATACATGTATTATAAATATCACATATAAATATTAGATGTTTTTCCAAGTTTTATTTCTCTCTCTCTCTCTCTCTTTCTCTCCCTCTCTCTCTCTCTCTCTCTCTCTCTCTATATATATATATATATATATATATATATATATATATATATATACAGTGGGTGGAAATAAATATCCCTACAATTGAAAAATTGTATTTTTACAAATGTATAAGCCTTAAATTCTCGATTGGGTTCAAGTCTGGGGACTGACTTGGCCATTGCAAGACATGAACGTTACTTTCAGCTAAACATTTCCTTGTAGATTTAGCTTAGTATGCTTAGGATCATTATCCAGTTGGAAAACCCAATCAGGAGATAGCCGAAGTCTCTTAACAGAACGCATTAAATTTCTTGCAGGATTTTCTGGTATATTTCGGCATTCATCTTGCCATCTATTATTAATATTTTGCCAACCCCTTTTGCAGAAAAACATTCCCAGATCATGATACTGCCACCACCAAACTTTACAGTTGGCAACGGGTTCTTTGATAAGTAGGCTTCACCGTTCTTCCTCCACACATGATTTCGATAATTATAACTAAACAACTCTATTTTAGTTTCATCTGTCCATAGTAATTTTTCCCAAAACTAATATTCCTTATCCTTATGCTCTTTAACGAATTTTAGCCTAGCATTTCTCTGTCGTTTCAGGAGGAGTGGAGTCTTCCTTGGGATGTGTGATTTCAGACTGTTTTGTGTAGTTCATTATTTATTGTACGCTTGGTTAATTTAATCCCTAATGCACGCAGATGTAACTGTAGCTCTTCTCGGGTAACCTGTGGATTTTGTTGGATCTGGCGTCCTAATATCCTTGCTGATCTTAGAGAAATCTTCCTCGGAGCACCTGTTCGTCTTTGGTTTTCGACACTGTTACGAGTTTTAAACCTTGCAATGAACGAAGCAATTGTAGTAAAAAAAAT